AAACATAGGTCCAGAAATGAGCCGTTTCCGAGTTATAGCCACTTTTATGTTAAAAAATTGTAATTTAGAATCCGCTTGGCATCCCTCTTTCTTAATTATTTCTTATTAAAAATTTTTATTTTTAAATATTTTTAATTTTTTTAATTTTAATTTTTTTATTTTTTTTTTTAATTTTTTAATATTTGTAAATACGATTACATTATTTTTAAAAGAAATCAGTTGTTTTCACGGCTACTTGAAATCAGTTGTTTTCACGCCTATTCAAAATCAGTAAGTAAATCACGGCTTTTCAATAAGTTTCAAATTATTATTTAACAACACCTTACTTTTAGATTGTATCTAATCTTTCCGTATTCATCAATGGATCGTTTAAGTTTTAATGAATTAGCTGATATTTAAATATAAAAATTTTTAATTTAAGAAATAATTAAGAAAGAGAGATGTCAAGCGGATTCTAAATTACGATTTTTGAACATAAAAGTGGCTATAACTTAGAAACGGCTCATTTCCGGACCTATGTTTGTATGAACTTTTTTGCTTGTTTTTGGGTCCCGAATCACCGAAGTGGAGTAGGCGATTTTTCGGACACCCTGTATATGGATTATATCTAGTTATATATAAATTTACATATAGTCAGGTACGAGTTCATATTAGCCAGTCATGATTAAATAGAATCATACATAGATTTAAATATAGTCATATATGAATTCATATACAGTCTGGTATGAGTCAGGCTTGATTAGGTCTAATCATACATGAATCTGTACCTACTCATACGAATTAGAATATATTAGTCATATCAGCATGGGAATGGTCAGATCTAATCATATATGGATCCATATATAATCATACAAGGAGCAAGATGTAAATATACATGATCATAAATATACTCATATATATTCATTTATGATTCTATACATAATCATATACAATTATATATGATTAGTCAAAATTATTTTTTCTCGGGGTGTGGAGAATATTTTTGCACGTCTGCTGCGTGTCCGTTGCGAGTATCGTTTCGCATAATTTTTCGGTTTGCTGAAAAACCTTTTGAAGTTGGTGATATCGATGTCTTAGGGCTGCTACGTCGATTTTAATTGCTAGTTTCCATGTAGCTTCTACCTGTTGCAATTGTCCGGTTCTTTCAAAGTATATTCCCGGCTTCCTGCTGAATTGTCGTATCTCGTACGATGGTGCTGTTTCGGGTTTCGCTTTTTTCGCGAAGTGCTGGACGACGATCAGCGTCCTGTAAGATAAGGACTCATGTTACTTTTCTTCGAATTTTTTCTTGGCTTGGTTATGCCTTCTCCTGAATTTTTTTCTCGCGCGTTTAGTCGCTCTTGAGGCTTAGATCTCAACACATTATTTGTTTGCGCTAACTTATATAATTGCAAGATGAGGTGCATACGGTGTGACCTCTATTTTGTTCCGTCGACGTGCCACGCGTGCTGGCGCACGTATTGGCTACGCGCTGCTCGTGCGGGCGCCGTGAGTGTTGGTGCCGCGCCTAGTGCGCGAGTGGCGGCGAATTTGGGTTCGGGGCCGACGTCGCCCCCTCCCTCCTATGTGGAGGTGGCCTTAACACCCCCGGGCACATGGGTGCCCATCATGCCTTTGGAGGTCTCGGTGGATGTGGCCACCAGTCGACGTGTGGTGCGGATGGTTCGCCGTGCTTGATGTTCGGTAAGTACTTATTATTTTATTTTTCTTATTTTTTACTATCGCCTACTTTCTATTGCTTGTTTTCGTTTTTTTTGCGCTGCTTTTATTGTTCTATGAAAGGCTTTATCCTGTTTACGTGCACTCGCGTCGTTTTCCGTCCCTTTTTGATTGTGTAATTGACGTCTATATAGGACGAGATATATAGGACATCTGATGCGAGGAGAAAGATACGAACTCATGCGACTGATCATCTAAGGCAAGATTCAAGGGAAGAGATTCATCGGCAGGCGCCAAAATTCCTGGTTGAAAGATATCAGAAGATGGTTTGGCTGTACTTCAGTGGACATCTTTCGCATGGCCGTATCTAAGACTACGTATGTTGGCCATTTGGATCGCCAACCTTCGAAAGGAGACGGCGTCATAAGAAGAAGAAGAATTGACGTTTGAGTGTTTTTCAATTACTTCGTACGGTCCTATCTACGGGTATTCTAATTTTTTCGATCTCTCTCTACGCACCGTTTCATCGTGCAAGAGAACTTTGTCTCCGACTCGAAAATTGATTTTTTTCGTCTTCTTATCGTACGTCTCCTTGGCTTTAGATTTTTCATTTTGCAAATGTTTCTTTGCAACTCGTTGTGTCGCTCTTAATTTTTCTTTTAGCTCTTGCGCGTAATCATCATAAGTTGTGACGACAACGACGATGTCTTCATGGTCTCGCCGGCCGAAGGTCCCCCCTTGCACCCCCCCGTGGTTGAAAGCGTGGAACTCGCTTTACAACATAAAGTGCGCGATTGTACGGTGCGCAATTGTACGGTGCGCGATTGTACGGTGCGCGATTGTACATACGGTGCGCGATTGAACGGTGCGCGATTGAACGGTGCGCGATTGTACGGTGCGCAATTGTACGGTGCGCGATTGTACGGTGCGCAATTGTACGGTGCGCAAAAACCGTGTCCAATGCAACATATGTTTATTTATTTAAATAAGTTAATAATATGTGTTGTGTCCAAAAGCAACGGTGTCCAATTGTACTGTGCGCCAATGAAATGTGTCCAAACGAACTGTGCGCGATTGTACGGTGCGCGACTTTATGTGTCCAATAGTACTGTGTGCAATTGCAACGTGCGCAATTGTACTGTGCGCCAGTGAAGGCTTCTCCACCAGCACGGGTGACAACGGACCAAGGACGGCAATTTGAATCCGAGCTATTCAAAAAACTCACGAGGCTAACGGGTTCAGCACACCTTCGCACCACGGCGTACCATCCACAAGCTAACGGCATGATCGAAAGATTCCACCGGCAGTTGAAAACAGCCATTAAGAGTCACCAGACGGAAAAATGGGCAGAAATACTACCGGTAATCATGATGGGAATTAGAGCAGCATGGAAGGAAGACCTGCAGGCGACACCAGCTGAAATAGTCTTCGGAGAATCGATCCGATTAAGACTACCGATTACGGAAGATTTCACAGCACGATTAAATAAAATTATAAGAAACCTGCAGCCAAAACTAAAAAGGCATGGAGAAAAAGCTATTTTTATGTATAAAGACTTAGCTACGACACAACGAGTGTTCCTCCGTCATGACGCACCAACGGGAGCTTTGCAGCCACCATACGATGGACCATTCAAAGTTCTAAACAGAGGAGAGAAAACCTTCAAAATCCGCGTCAATGGTCGACCTGTCAACGTGTCAATCGATAAATTGAAACCCGCCTACATTCTGGAGCGAGAAGAACCGGAGCCAGCTCAGTCATCAACTGGAACCACACAAACTCCCGAAGAGCCACAGCAACAACAACGGACGAGAAGCGGACGTATATCACGTCCACCAGTCCGTTTCCAGGGGTTCTAAAACAACCAAGGGAGTTATGTGGCGGTCAGCTGTCCGCCACGTGCGCGGGACTGTACATACGCTACACGAATAGTATGACGGGATGCGCGCGGCGCGCAGCACGGATAGTAGCATAATATTGATCGGCGCGCGGCATGAGTATTGATCGGCGGGATAGTTCGGCGCGCACCGCTGCGCGGCGTATCTCTCTCGTAAGTAAGGTTCGACATCGATCCCTATATAAAGGGCAGCTCAGCGGGGCCTCCCCAGCGATCTTCGAGAACGCCAGTCAGGGCGTGCTACCTATCGGGGCCCCTGACATAATTCTCTTTTAATACGAAGCGTTGCTCTACTCTGGGCCTTCGTAAATACCTGCTTGGCAGGGCGTTAACTACGGTAAAGAGTCAACCGACACTCTGCCGCGGAAAGGTTTCCGGGGTCGTCGTGACCCAGCCCGTCGGGCGACTCCATACTCGGTGGAGACCAAGGCGCTGCTTTCTCCTACCACGGCTCCTGCTCCTGAGATCAAGACGCTGCCTCCTCTGACTACGGCCTCGGCTCCGACTCCTGTTCCTGTGACCCCCGACTCCTGTTTCTGTGACCAAGACGAAGAATCGCATCCTGATCACCAAGGTAGAAACTCTACCTCCTGGGAAACGTATCCTGCAGAACAAGTCCAAGACGAAGTGGAGATTTACCCCGATTGCCAAGTGGGGTCATACTGACCCAGCAACACTGAAATCGGTGGAAATCAAATCATCATCTATTCCAAGTCCGACTCCAGTCCTACCGAGCCCTACACCAGCTATAACTCCTGTTCCTGAGGCTACGACGCGGGATCCAATCCTAACCTCCAAGGTAGAAACCTTCCTACCTTGGAAGCTTGTACCCATCTCTGTTCCGGCTCCCAAGGACATATCGGCTCCTGAGATCCAGGCGAGGGACTCTATACCAATCTCTAAGATAGAAACCTTCCTACCGTGGAAACTCTATCCGATTGACGTTCCACCACGAGCTCCACGTGTCCGACGCCCTCTTCATCCTATCGATCTGGAGAACTCTGTGGCAACTCAAACAAACCACATTTTTAAGACGCCTACGCGACTACGATTTCATCAGACCCGACTGAGTCCCATTCCGTCCACTCCAAAAGACAAGCCTAGGACTCCCGGACGGAACCTGGTAGTCCCGCGAGATATTATTTGCGAGAAGAAAAAATCAGTTATCAAACAATTATTTAAAGAATAGTAATGCATATATTACACTACACAAAGATAACTTACACCAACACACACGACCATCTACACATTCATATAGAAGATATATTTATTTTGTGCAGAGAGCATGCGAGATTATACAGATTATTCCATTCTACGCTTTGCTCTATTATGATTCGTGTTGTGTTGGCATGATCAATACATGATCTGTTGGGTCGAAAGCCAGCTTGCTCCTGACGTAGAGACGGTTCAATCGCCTCCGCCATGCGCGTGTATACGATTTGGGCTAGTATTTTGGCCGAGCAATTCGGAAGTGTGATACACGCCAATTCTCGCAGTTCTTTAAGTCACCCTTCTTCGGCAATTTTACTATTAATCCGGTGTCCCAGCCATCTGGCAGTTCCTCGTTCTCCCACATGTCCTTTATGATTGGCTGATACAAGTTGGCCGTCAAATTTATATCGGCCTTGAGCAGCTCGGACGGGATGCCGTTGACGCCAGCGGCTTTATTGTTCTTCAAGTTGCGGATGGCTTTCTTTATTTCCGCAAGGGTAGGAGGGTCATCACTCAAACCAGGGAGCGTCCTCTCGTCTGTGACGTTATATTGGGGAGGTCTCGCCGGGCTGTTCTGTGGCTGTATTTTCAGTAGTTCTTTAAAGTGCTCACTCTATCGACCCAGTTGCTCTGCAGCTGTAGTAAGAAGCTATCCGTTTTGATTTCTTACCGGATAGTTACGAATGTTGTTCTTATTCGCTAGTGTTCGCGTGATAGTGTATAATTCCCGGGGTTTATTCGACTCGGCAGCGATCTGCGCCTTGTCTGCTAGGCTCTCCACCCATTTTCTTTTGTCATTTCTGGCTCTACGTTTTACTTGCTTATTAAGCTGCATGTAGCTCCTACTAGCGTTGTCTTTCTCGTCTAATGTTTTGGCATTGAGTATTTGTTGTTTCTGTTCCCTTCTCCGGTTGATCAGGTTCCATGTCTCCGACGTTAGCCACACGGCTTTATTTCGTTCTTTGAAGCCGATGACGCTCTCCGCTGAGTCAAGGATGGCACGCTTTACTACGTCCCATCTCTTCCTGCTGTCGCAATGCTACAAATCTGCCTCCGAGATCGCACTCTGTACTTTACTGACAAAGGCATCTTTATACTTGGGATCCTTAAGTTTTTCAGTCGCGAAATGTTTCCGCTTGTGTATATTCGTTTTTGCTTTGTACTTTGCTACTTCTATGCGCATTGCGCCGGTAACCAAGTGGTGATCACTAGCTACATCGGCGCCACGTCTTGCTCTTACATCCAGGAGAGAACCCCTCCACATTTTGCTGATCCTGATATGGTCAATTTGATTCATCGTCCGATTATCCGGGCAAATTCACGTTGCTTTGTGAATGTCCTTGTGTGGGAATATCGATCCCCCGATTATTAGATTCTGGGTCGAGCAGAATTCGGTGAGGAGCTCACCATTATTGTTCATTTGTCCTAGCGCGTGGGCGCCCATGACATGCTCCAGCCCGTTATTGTTTTGGCCGACTTTGGCGTTAAAGTCATCCATGAGCACTACAATGTCGGACTTTCAAAGATCTCTTATGGTTGCGGTTAGCTGTTCGTAAAAGAGATTTAGATTCTTCGTCTGAGACCTCAGTAGGGGCGTAACATTGGATAAAGGTTATGTTCCTGACTTTACTCCTTAATCTAACCTAGATTATTCTGTCACCGGTTTCCAGTTTATAAGTCCCCTTCTTGTGTTCCTGTTAAGTAGAATACCCACGCCTGAGGCGTGGGGTTCATTTGTTGGTTTGCCGGAGAAGAGAAGCATGTGCCCGTCCGAGGTGATGTGTTCACCCTGCTCGGACCATCTTGTCTCGCATAGACCGAGCACCTGGAGCCTATATCTATCCATTTCGTGAATGACTTGTGCCAGGCGTGAAGTTTCTAGCATTGTCCTGATGTTCCATGTTCCGAATCTGGTCCTGGATTTCATGTCAAAGGTCGTCTCCATCTGTGGGGTCCGGCTAATCTCTGTGTCGGTTTCAGTAATAGTGTTTTTTAAGATGGACGGGTTATTAACCCGCCGCACCCGAGTCCGATGGAGGGACTGTTTCCTCAGGGGCTGCCCTTGGACTTGCCTGCCGGTTTTGGTCCACTCCGGGTATTTTATTTCCCCGGTACTTTCTATTTCTAGCGGGCTTTCCCCGATCCGCTACCTGGGGAGGCGCTCGATGGGAGACCGGCAACTCCACACGGTATCGCCGATACCCCTTCTTTCTCCACACATCCACCTGGAAAAGCGGTGGTCGTGGAGGGCGAGTTCCCCATTGGGAGGGAGGTTCGACTTGGCGACGTGCCCCGAAAATTCCGGGGACACGTGCGCCCAGTAGCCACCGCCGCCTTCCACCAGATCCCCACCCCAGGTCCCCGAGAAAAAAAACCCCGCAGGATTTGAGATACCTGCCTGCGGTTGAACCCGGATCTCCAGAGTGTGAATCCACTGTCTAGCATTGGCGACCACTAACTTGCCTATGGTTTTATATACTAGTATATTATCATGTGTGATCATGTAAAGATAATTATATATGAATATATACTCTATAATGGATCTATCCATTGTATAACTGTTATAAATATTCTTCTAGTATATTATTTTACTTGATAATATAAAATTAATATAAAATATATTATTTTTAGTTTCAGTTTACACAATTGCGTTGTAAGTCCGACAAAGTCTATATTGGCACGCAGTAGTGCCAATTTAAAAAACTGAAACATGTATTTAATAATAATTGATATTGTGAAATATTATTAAGCATTAAGATCCGCTTCGACCGAAAACGGCACTTTTCATTGCTTATATGTTATTTTAAGTTTTCTTTTTTTTTCTAATTTTGCATAAAATACTTAATTTTTTTAATCGTAAATAGTGTGAAATTACCAGTAATAGTTCGTGAAAAAAACTGTTATATAATACATATTATAGTTCATATAAACAAATATATTAATCGTATTATTTTGCAAACATAGGTACCTTATAATTTGAACTGAAAATAATATAATCGTATATGAAATGATATAGTCATATAAGATTATACGTATATGATCAGATTAGAATATTGCATCTCAAAGTATCCGATAGATGGCATTCGATGTGATCTGTTTGTAGGAATTCGCGGTGATCGAAATTTTACTATAGGCCGGGATGGCCAATCAGGTTCACGTGTTCAAGTAATGACTCGGGTTATTAGAAAATCATATATTTACAAGAACGTAATGTCACAAAGTATGTACAGTTAATGATAAGTATTTACACTGGTGAGTAAAGAACTCGGTAATGAGGTAGGTCACGGACCTCGCGTAACAAAGTATAATATACGAATTATCGTGAGCACTATGCAAATGTACGTGACGATGATATCTGACTATAAAAACGTAAATGTAATCCGTCCGTTACTGTTGAGACACGAGATACGAGTGTCGTTTCGGCCGTTGTAGGTGCACACGCTTGCGATTGCGGCGCTGGCATGTGAGTCTTGAGGCGGCTCTCCATCGCTCCGTATTCCGGCCAATGAGGTGTGAGAGTCGCGTATTTCGCGTATTTCTCGTATTTAAAATTTGACAGTGTTACAAGAACGGCATCAAAAAGACACGACACTGTCTTGCGCTATTCTCGCGCGACGCTGTCTCGGAGTGACACAATTTTTGTATCAGTTATATTGTGAAGTTTACTCTTATAATAAAGTAGCACGCTTAAAAAATAACATTTGAAAATATATAACAACTTTCTAAAACTTATTTAAATATATATGTCCTTATATATAATCTTATATAATCATATATCTTATATAATCATATATATAATCATATGTCGGTAGTCAAAGCGAGTCGGTAGTCACTAATGCTAGTCGCCGGATTCACGTTCCGGAGATCCGGGTTCAACCCCAGGCAGGTATCACAAATCCTGCGGGGGTTTTTTCTTGGTGATCCGGGTGGGGGTCTGGTGAGGGGCGACGGTGGCTACCAGGGTGCGCGCTTCCTCGAAATTTTCGGGGGACGCCACCAAGTCGAATCTTCCTCCTAATGGGAAACTCGCTCTTCGCCTTCCCAGGATGGGATAGGTGGGGAAAAGAGAAGATCTCGGCGCTACCTGGGGGAGCCTGTAACCCCCTAAAGACACGTCCCCCGGATGGCGATGGGGGAACGCTCGTCAGGTTCGCTTGAAGAGTAGGAGTGAAATAAAATAGCTCCCGCGGACCAAAACAGGTACTCGCCAACACGTCTGGCAAGCGTGGCGTTTTAAATATAATGCGCCAAAAAACCTTCACCATGAAATGTCGAACTCGAAAACAAAATTACCCCAGGCGAGTAGAGCGGGACGCTCGGAATCTCGTACTGACACGTCAGTCTGCCTCATGGATTCTGGGGGAGGCACAAATTCAATGAATGGATGGAAACGAAAACGGAATACGGAACACAAGCGTACCAACAAGACCCTCTACATTGCGTCGTATAACATTCGCACAATGAGACTCGAAGAACATCTGATCAACCTCGAAAATGAATTAGAAAACATCAAGTGGGACGTCCTCGGAATAAGCGAGACCAAGCTGAGTGGGGAAGCGGTCACAATCATGAAGTCTGGACATATGCTTCTTCAAAAGAACTCTGACATATCGGAGGTGTGGCCCTGCTAATTCATAAAAAATTGAAACACCTTGTAATCAAAACCAAAGCTATATCGGACAGGGTAATTTATGTAGTGCTAAGACTTAACAACAAGTGCAGCATACAAATAATACAGGCCTACGCACCAACTTCAGCTTCGACAGAGGAAGACATTGAGCAGTTCTATGAAGACCTGACAGCAGCAAAAAGTGCGGAAAAGACCAAGTTTACCATTATAACTGGTGACTTTAATGCTAAAATTGGAGCGATGACATAGGCGGACCCTCCGTACATCGGTGCCTTTGGTCTGGGCACGAGAAACCCAAGGGGACAAGTGATGATGGACTTCCTGAGCAAAGAGAAAATATACTGTTTAAGGGGATCCTGCAGCCGTATAATTTACCGACATTATCGTTTTTCGATTTTTTAATTGGCTTAATTGCAAAAATCTTTTACAGAATTAAAGTACGCACTAAAATCTGGGGTAACAAACGCGATTTTATATCAAAAACACCCAAAAATTAAAAATATTACTTATTTGGGCACATACGCATCTGTCACATGACGACAATATTTGCTTATAACAAAAATTCTGCAGTTTATACATACATAATGTTTATCATCTGCCCTTGGGAAAACATGTAGGAATAATATCGTGCAAGTAAAAGTAAGATTCAATGCGTACAAAAAAAGATCCATCGAAAAATTATTTTAGTAATGCAAATACGGATGCAGAATGACAAGAAGAGCAGCAACAGTAGTTGTTGGATCTTGCGAGAGATGGCGAGCAATCGAAAAAAGGACAGATGTCATTTCGTTAGACAAAGACAGATATAGGAAAAACAAAATTAGAAAGGTTGACATTATCGACATCGAGGAAGTTTGCCAGTCACTGCAGGATCCCCTTAAACACCTTCTTTAAAAAACATCCCAAAAGGAAGTGGACATGGAGAAGTCCGGACAGCACTATCAAAAACGAAATGGACTATGTGCTAGCCACTGACAAGTGCATTTGTGCAGATGTGTCAACCCTAAATCGTTTTGACACGGGCAGCGACCACAGGTTGGTGAGAACAAAAGTCCTAGTGGATACTCGGCTCGAGAGGAAACGTCTCATGAATAAAAAGGTCAGGCCAACATTAGCAGAGCTAAGAGGGAAGGAAGAAGAATATAAGACTACGCTCGAACAGAAACTAAAACCAACCGAAAAGCTACAAAAACTAGAACTAAATGCGCTGTCAACACAAATCACAAACAGCATCCGAAGTGCCGTAAGAAAAGTGTGCTCACTTCAGAAGCGTGGGAACTCAAAACTTAGTCCAGACTGAAAGGCAAATCAGAGAAAGAAGAAGAACGAGCAGGGATTCACCGGAATATAAAGACCTAAACAAGGCCGTAAGAAAAGCGATTAGAAAAGACAAAAGAGCGTACAACACGCGAGTAATCAAAGAAGCCATTAAAAACAATATGAACATGAGAGTTCTGCGCTTCAAACTGTCAAAAGGGAAGGTAGTAATCCATAAGATAAAGAACAATCTAGGAGAGGTAGTAACAGAGAGGGACGGAATCGCAGCGATCATTGAAGACTTCTATCGAAAACTTTACAGCCAATCAGCTCCAAATCCGAACCAGCAAGGACGACCAAGACAGACAATTCTGAACGTAGGATCCGAAGATTTACCAGACATTAACAAGTCAGAACTGGAAGCAGCATTGAAACAACTAAAAAACAACAGAGCACTAGGGGAAGACCGGATAACAGTCGAGATGCTCAAGGTTGGAGGGGAAGAATTAGAAAAAGCACTCCTGGTACTACTGAACAGATGTCTGGAAGAAGGCAGGATCCCTGACTCGTGGCAGAACGCAGAGGTCATCCTGCTCTTGAAGAAGGGCGACTGCACGAATATGGAAAATTACAGACCCATTAGTCTACTCTCAATCCTTTATAAGCTGTTATCCAAAATAATAACGAATCGTTTAAGCTAAAAGCTCAATTTCTACCAACCCATAGAACAGGCAGGATTCAGAAGAGGGTACAGCACGAATGACCATATACAAACAGTACGCACACTTATAGAAAAATGCACCGAGTACAATGTCCCACTGCATATGGCCTTCATAGACTACCACAAAGCCTTCGACTCAGTTGAGACATGGGCAGTGCTTGAAGCATTGGATAAAGCACAAGTTGACTCTAGATATTCTAACTTGATCAAATTCATATACGAGCATGCCACCCTGCACGTTAAAATGGAAGAGGATTGTACTACAGGTAGAATCCCTATCAAGAAGGGTGTGAGACAGGGCGATACGATTTAAACAAAACTTTTCACCTTGGCGCTG